TGTTGATACCATGTCAATAATTGAGGGCTCACAGGAGGTAGACTTAAGTGATCATTAACTTTCCTCCGCGAACTGAATTTGCCCCCATGCTGAGGTGGTCTCCCACACTAAAGCTACTGTGCGTGGAAATGATAACGGCCAGAGTTAAGCTGACCAAAAGGTCGACTCGCGATCAAGGCAAGATCAAATTTTCGTTCAAACTGATTTGATCTTGTTTTGACCACGTTCAACTCTGGCCACCCTATGATCGCTCGCTCCTGTATCCATTGAACTCATGTAAAGTCGACCTTTTGTGCATGTAACCATGCCAGATATTGTACGCTGTGAAGTCGAGGGTGGATATCCCTGTCTCCTGTGTGTTTTGAGCTGTTTTTGTGATTAGGTGTAGTAGGTCTTCGTTTCTCATATTGTGTGTATTTTTTCAACTGCTGGGGATGAATTGAGGCGCCTGGGGGTTGAGGTCAGGCTCAACAAGAGGCTCGAAACACTAATTGGGAAATGTTATCCCAATTGTAAACTAAAAGAAATAATTCAACGCGAAAAGGGCCATGTTCAACTTGATCGCCTTAGTTTGATCGTGGTCAATTGTTTGCTCGACTCCAGAGGTCAAGCGAGAAAAGACGCGATCAGAACTTGGTCAACGCTTAGTAGGACCATGCGGTCTATCTATCTATCTCGAATTTCGATCGACCTCTTGACTACGTGTTGATCTCAACTCTGACCATGACCAATAATGGATCCTGAGTTATTGGGCCCACTCACATGCGATGGAACACTGTTAGAGATCCCACATGCTTAGAGCAGGTTGTGAATCATTCTGGTCATATAGTTCAACACCGAACAGATCACATCTAGATACGGAAATGAAGTATCGGTTGATTCGAGTGCCGAAAATCATCTCAAAGGCTCGTATCCTGAGCTGCTTCTCACCGATGGACTTCCTTTACCCTCGTCGAATTGTTGTGGACGACACGGATCCCAGGATAACTTACAACACCGGTACATGGAACTTGGATTTGTCAAGCTTTGCTAGCCACGGCATAGCGGGCGATCCGTATAATCAGACTATGAGGGGGACTAACTCGGCAACAGCAAGTTTCAGGTTTCATTTTGAGGGTGAGCTGGTACATGAAATTGACGTAGCCAATAGCTGACTTTCATGCGAACTGTCGATCCGTAAGGCGACTATATTCAGGTCAAGGGTGCAAAGGACAACAGCAAGTATCGCCACGCCAACGCCACTCATGATTCGCCAGACGATTTCCCGAGATACACATGCCAGGTGGACGGTCTACCCATCGAACAGTTTGTATACCACACCAACGTAACCGAAACCACCAATCTCATCCTATGCGAGGGGGCTTACCTCTCAAAGAGGAATCATACCTTGATCATGACGACCACCGTCGGGGATAAGGAAACCCAAGTGTTTTGGCTGGACTCGATTGAGTACGCCCCGCTGGACAATGCAAACCTGACAAACCAAGTAGTCAGGGTCGACTCTAGCGATAAGAGTTGTGTTTACTTCAACGAAACCGGCCAGGAATGGCAAGATGGTGGTCGAGCTAACGGAACGGGAAAGCCAAGGGCGGGAATGTCCTTCAAATTCAATGGTGTGTCCACTCTTGTAACGTAAACTCCGTTTCCGATTGCTCTAATCATTCGTATCGGCCTTCTACCTTCTACCTACTGTCAAACGGCGAACAGGAACTTCCGTATCTCTATACGGGCAGAACCTCCCATTACCGGGCTTAACGTTCGGATTGAAGAATTCAACCGCTGTTTACTCCATCGACAATGCAGACCACGTTCCTTTCACGATCTCAGGCTCAAAACCCTTTCCTGCCGAAGCAGAAAACGACACGATGTGGCTCAACCAACACGTGTTTACCACCAACCGAGTCGACGGTGGGAGGGAGCATGAAATGGTCATCACCTATACTGGAGCCCACAACATGTCAGAGTCGCCTCAGGGACTGGATATCGATTATTTCTATGTCACCAACGATTGGATTCAGACAAACGATAGCTCATCGGGATTGGACGAGAAGACAAAGACACCTGTTGGAGCAATCATTGGAGGTGTCCTAGGTGTCTCCGTTCTCATCACGATTGCGGGACTGATTTGGTTAATGATGAGAAAGAGGAGGGGACAGGGCGTTGGTATGATCAAGCCAAATCATGAGCGGTCTATCTTGACGCCGTTTAACGGTGTGAAGTCTACGGCGACAGGAACTAGTATAAAGCATGCGTACGGGCAGGGGGTGGAGCTGAATGAACGGGTTTTCTGGGAGCAGGACAGTGGAAGTCGTTCAAGTCAGACTGATGCAAGCTCTTCAGTGCTCGATCCACCACCGAGTTATACATCGGGCTAGGGTTCAATTGTCTGTCAAGACCAGAAGGATTTTTCTTCCATCCTTTCACGCACATTCGGTGTCTTATTTGGTATTCTGCGTAATATAAACGCCTCGACAACCCAGATGTAACTATGTTGGAACGTGAGCAAGAGCTTCCATTGATGAGATACGTAGTATGTGGAGGAAACACTACCTACAGCGATCGATTGAGGTATAAGTAGGTAGCTCCTGCCAACCAAGAAACTCTCTTCCAAGCGCGGATTGGTAGGTTACCAATTTCATGAAGATAGTGTTGTCGAGGGATGCATCATTTCCAAGCAACTTTATCCTTCCATCTTATGGTAGACTTGAAGGTTAGATGCGTATCGTAGAATGATTTACCAAAGGGGAGGAGGTGACACACATACTTCTACTTGAATCATACCGGTCATTCCCCACTCAGGGCAACTATTATAGCCATGAACACGGCATTTGAAAACAAATTTGGGGCCGGAAGTATCGACCACCGATTTTGGTAAGTATGTGAGGATCTCCAAGAAATCATTCAGGTACGAATCGCCGCGCCAATCATTTGTCAAGACAATGAATCCAAGTATCCGTCGTATATACATCCTCCAACCCGCAAGGACCGAGGAAAGCAGGGCTAGTTCGTTAATAACAACATAAATCCGAAGAAACTATAGAAGGATCGTGCGCACCAGAGTAATATGATCCGAGGATCGGCGAACACGGATTGTGGGTTCCTGGAGTATTTGTATGGAGAAATTCGGTGAGTCTGCCGGTACAGCCGAAAAGATTCTTGATGGAGGCTGAGGGGCTTCGCTCAGTACGAGAGACTCGTCAAAAATACGGAGCGAGGAATAGGAACATAGATCACTCCGCACCATATCGGCCTCAATCTCCACGATTGCGATGAAACGATGACCACCTGCCGCCACCACTAAATACCACTCCCCGACACCAGTAGCTCCCACCATCATCACCGCCATCACAAGTCCTACAACTGCTCAACCAAGTTGTGACGAAACCACTTCCAAGAGTCACCACACTCCGCCTACGCCCACGACCATATCCACCGGCCCTTGTCCGGGAATTGATGTTATTTCGGTGTCGGTGCGTTGGTGTCGATATGGGTGCTAACCCGTCCTCCGAGCTACTGCATCCGCTACAATATGGGCTTGAGAATTGATCCTGAGCGCTTGGCGCTGATTTTGGTTTCCCTGAGGAACGTTTTCCCTTCCTTCCGTCTTTCGCCTCTCCGATGGACACGGTAGACCGTATACTTTGAGCGAACCATTAACTTTATGTTGTAAGGAGAATTTGGATGCATTTGATTCGGAATCACAATGATGGACTGCGGTCCCATTGAAGTTTAGCAAAAATTAGGCATGAACTACGTGGAGCTAGTTCTCTCCAGCCGACTCGAACGACTGATTTCTTCATATTAGACATGAAACGGGTGATGTTGGTGAAGCGTTCTACCACTGAGCTAAGAGGGACTTTATGGTGGCCAAAGCAACAAACCTTACCCTTTTGGGCGCAACCGGATTTAACCGGGCCTGTGCCACGTGGGAACGGCAATAATAATCGTGCGCGTGCCACCAACGCCGTCTTGTCCTCGAGCGCATCACTTTATCTCATCCCCGTGCGACCAGACTGGGCGGTGCCCTTGATTTTGGGCACCGCCTTGCTGCCCTTTCAACCAGCGGTGGAACTCCACCGCCCCCCCACAGCACTGCTTAGTGATTAATGATGATGAGCATCTCGAGCACGATGCATACTGAGGTGAGACGAGTTCTTCCGAAAGTTAAAGCTCATATTTACGAGCCCGATGCTGTTGAGGTCTGTTCCTTCCTCTCCCCCATACATTCGCCTTTGCATAATTCTTCCCAATGGCTCTTCAAGCCCTGTTCTTGGAGGTACCGAGTATTGTGTCAAGAACTGACACACTGTCATCTGGGTCGACGGCTCCTGGGCTCGGTTCCATTTCAGGCAAAGCTATCAAACGTTTAGGAGAGGTAGTCCTCAATGGCGTGGACTCCATTCGTATCAATCGCGAATTGACGAGGATAGAGACACACTTTCGACAGAGTCCAATAAATCGACCTATCGATATTCAAAGTGTAAAAGGAATGTACCACACCCTTTTTGAATTCACCCAGTAAGTGGTTACCTGATCTTGTTACATACTCCCACTCACCCGTCGCCCAAACTCCGAAGCCCCGGATACGCAAAGTCTATTCGTACTAGAGCCTTGAAGATAGTCATGAAGCAGATTGGAGGGATGAATTTCAAGAACCTTGCGGGAGCATTGGTATATCTAGACTCCTGGTCAACAACGTACCGACATCTCCGTAGTGCCATAGAGTGTTGTTGGCGCAGCATAAGTCCTTGGGACTCTGATTTGTGAGTGAATTTTGTATTCAAACTATATTATGTTAATAGCCTACGGTTTCTGTTCAGTGATCACCATACCGCGGGCTACAATTCCTATAGGTTCCATCGGAGGGGAGGTTTGTCATACATGGACCCTATGGTCCTATATCTCGCCCTCGTAGCTTTACTCGGCACAAGAAACCACTGCAAAATGATTCTTGATCTCGTTTCTTCCGCAGCTTACAAAACCGCCGATGACAAACGACCAGAGACAGAGGAAGTCACATATGGAGTGTTAAAACGCGTTCTCGCGGCGAGGTTAGAGCTAACAGAGGATGACTCACTGATACCCGACGCAAGGGCGGTACTCGCCTCTGCCGTGATTGAAGACGAGCCGTCATATGTCTATCCATTTGGCCATGTTTCCACCGTTCTGACGAAGATCGCCGAGATCCTGTCTCTTGCTAATGCAAGCCCAACCAACGCGCACCCGGTCCTCTCGCAGTCAACCATTCAAAACACACCCACAACCTCACCATACCACGTTCGACTCTCGGATGCGCCAATTGAATCTTCCAGTGCTTCCACTGCAGGTCTCACGACTCGGTCCTCAACTTCGTCGCCTTACCACACTCGACTTCTGGATTCGGCAATCGACTTCCCGAGTCCCACGTCCACTTTGAATTCCTACACTAGTTACATAGGTCCAATCAAGCTACCGGGTGAAGACACCATTCCATCGGTGGTTCCGGAGCTTAAGTTGGAGGATGGAATCAACGACGGAGGTTCTGTTGTTCAAGCTGAGCTATCAGTAGAAGATCCTACTCCCCCGGTGAATTCGGAACTCAAATCAAGCCGCAGGGAGATCAGGAGAGGCTCCATGGTTCGTATTGACCTATTGGTAGAAGACTCCATGTCACTGGTATACTCGGATCGCGAGCGACTCGGCGGAATCATAGAGAAAAGGACGTTGACCGCCCTCCTCGAGCTTCTAATCTCCCCCAATTCCCGCGCTTTGAACGGTAAGTCTTGGCTCTGACATGTGTCAATCCTCTTCGGTATTCAACCTGAGGAAAATTTTCCGTCTAGTTTCCCCAGACCTGAGGGCCTTTGCTATGACCTTCAGGATGTTTACGACCGTCGATGAGCTATTCGATATGATCGGCGCTCGCCTGCAGAGATCTCAACTTGCGACGACTCCCCCTGGCCAGTGGGACGCAGGGATAGAAGCTTTGTGTGAAAGGTGGGAACTCGTACCAATACCTCGTTTTCGGTCTGACGTCTATTTGGTTAGAGTTCTTTCGTGTCTCGAGGCTATTGTTGGCGAGGATAGCTTTGACATAAAATCGCATATGCATCTTATCGCGAGGATAGAAGACTTGTTTCGAATCACAGGGGTTGGTCTGGGTAGACATGCTAAAGCGCAGTCAATTTTGGATGAAGCTCGCCGCAGGAGCATAACGGTGAGTGCTCATAGCCTTTCCAGTATGAAGCTTACCACTTTATGCCTGACTCACAGAATAATCATTCCCCCAGCGCTATACAGCACAGATTTACCATACAATCACCAGCCGTTTTTTCAGTGCGCTCGTCCATGAGTGAAAGACTACTCGAGTTCGAGCCCTCAGAGCTGGCAGCGCAGCTGACCCTCATGGAAAGCTTCTACTACCAGAAGATACGGCCAGTGGACTGTCTACGATATATGAAGGAACCTGAAACGAATGTTTCGGCCTTTCTTACTTTTAACAACGCAGTGAGCGATGCGTGATCCGTCATAAAAACTCAGCAAACCTTTGACCACTTTTTAAAGATAGCAGATTGGGCCCTAGCTTGCGTCAGGCATACTAGTGACCCCTTGGTATTTGAACATCTCATTGAGGTTGCAGATGTAAGTAACGACCTCAATGCGTGTGACCCACAGCACTCACATAGGATCCGATCAGGAATGTCGGGCGTTAGATAACCACGCGACGATGGCATCTTTGCTCTCAGGGCTGAGCATGACTTCTTACGTCGAGAATACTTCCGATCCGACAAGATATATGGACAACTTTACCCAGCGAAGATGGCAAGCCTGTGAAGCATTTGCTCTACAAATACAAGACCCGGAGGCTTACAATGCCATCATGGGTCGTGTACGCTTCTCGCCCGCGATTCCTTCCATCGGTAAGCCCAGAATCTATATTCACTTGTATATTATCTGAAGTAGAAGTATACAGGCCATGTTTTGGACGCGTTGCAGAGCATTGAGCCACGACAGGTTGTGATGTCACGGGGTCACCAGGGATTGATTGATTTTCGAAAGTACAAGAAGCTGTGCAAGGCCCTCGACAATTATCTCTGGTGGCGAAGGTTCCCTTACAAACTCTCGAGCTCCGATCTAGTCCAAGATTACCTCAGCGAAACCCTCTCACAATCTTCCTATGGATGGGCTCTTCACCGAGCCAATGTCGTTATGTTGGCTACAGAAATTTCCGAGCTTAGTGGCGGATTGTATGAATTTAAATCGGGATAATATCAATCATCAGTACATGGGCTCACCAGTGGTCTGCTACGACAGATAATCGACGAGAGTCACCCATAGACTAAGCTTTGAGGTCAGTGAGCCTCGAGTAGTGATCAATGTGAGATCCATAGGAGATCTGTATCAGGTTAGCGAGAAATAGGTGATAAAACACCAATAGATTGGGTATGGACAGTTAGACCCGGTGATAAGGTAAGATGAACAGACCTAAAGATTGCCAAATAAACGCGTCGCGCTCCGAAACGAAGGCCACATGACCGGTGCTGGCGCCTACCTTTTCACAGGCGCTCATGTGCCTGTAATGCCTGTTATGAAGGGTGATCACCAAGGTCACCAAGGTCGAATGGATCAATGGTGGAAAAATGACCAGACCTCTTGTCATAAATGAATAAAGCCAGTCAGCAACTGAGCTCGGGTTTTTGGTCACTGGAATGCGAAAACCAAAGGCCTCATGAAAGCCCTCTCGATTGCGAAATAATTATTGACACTATTAGACACCATATACTTACACTTACCGAGCGGATCATGCCCGAAGAGTCGAAGATGAGTCATATCCTGAACACCGGAGATCTTCGGACCGTGGCTGTCACGAATCACGATACCAGGGCATTCGCACTGAGTCAGACTTCAAGCTCAACGCTTGTCTCTTCTTCCCACCGCCATGTTTCTGCCCGAAACCTCTTACCAAAGCGTCTGGCTCGTTACGGGTTCGGTATCAACTCCATCACACCATTTTCTTCTCGCCGATTGACCTTCCTTGTGTTATTCTAGGCTCCTCATCCGGCTTCGGCCTGCGTCTTGTATCTTCAATCCTCAAACGAGGCGATCGAGTCATCGCAACCGCACGTTCGCTCGACAAACTGAAAACAAACCTCGCTCGTGAAGCCGCCAATCCCAATTGCCATATCATAGAACTCGATATTGCCTGGGAGCCTGAATCAATCAGATCTGCGATCGATAGAGCTGTGAAAATCTGGGGTCGGATAGACGTGTTGGTCAATAATGCGGGGTTGGGATATAAGAGTCTGATTGAGGAGGCAAGGTCTGTCTCAGTGCGCCAGATGGTGGTGATATTGAACTAATCTGCTGGAAATCGTGTAACCGAACCATTGGTAGTTCGAGGGAGTTCAAGCTCCAGTTTCAGGCGAATCTATTCGGACATATCGACGTGACGAATGCGGTACTCCCGGGTATGAGGGAACGAAAGGCTGGCACGATCGTGATTATGGGAAGCAGGAGTGGTTGGAAGTCCGAAATACCAGTGAGTAAGGCTAGTCGTTCGCGAGGACAATATTGACTGATTCGCATGGATCAGGCTACAGGTATGCTTGTTGCTAGCCTTGTGAACCGGATCAGTCTATTAAGTTTTGATAGCATTATACGCCTCATCTAAAGCGGCCTTACGAGGTAAGCCTCGTGTCGTTCATACGTTCGCCTCCTCACCTGACCTTCACTTCTTTCTTTGTATCCAGTTTACGGAGAAACCCTGGCTACGGAACTCGCCCAATTCTCCATTCGCGTACTTATCGTTGAGCCTGGAGCATTCAGAACCGAAGGTATCCTCACCAAAAAGTACCACACCGATCACCCAATCGCAGA